TGTTACGTGCTCTGAATTTTACACATTCGTTTCAAATATGCACGTTACATGTAAGGTGAACGACTTTGTTTACCATTTGCTAGTTAACTGATCCAAATGCATGGCTTGAATCCGCGATGCTTTCAAATCCACTCCCGGCACCGACTTACCCTCGCAATATTTCGTAATCCGACTGTTGTAGGTATTTTCAAACTATGGTTAGCGGTATCTTTCCTTGAGGTTGTGTAACTAAAATACTTTATGCATTTCTTATCTCCCACATGGCGTGCTGCATGCCGTGCCCATCTAATCGTCACATATTTAATCAAGTTAATTTCAGGTAAATAATTCAAATTATAAAACTCTTCACAATGTAGTTTTCTCCAGCCTCTTTTTAACTCTTCACATGACTTATAAAGAAAGCGCTTATTTCTGTTTTAAATATCCAAGCACCGAACTCATTTCCATGCTTCCTTGTCGTTAACTTCTCAGTCTTTAGGGAGCGTAGGGGATTCGGTGGCCTTCGCATCTTCTTCACCTGGCCACAGAAACTGTGTTAAAGGCAGAATCTCCCATTGAGTTTAGGGACGCTTTTGATTAAAGTCTATGAAAACAAGTTGCAGAGAAGTTTGATCAAATATTCATGAGTGTTTGTGCTCCATTTGTAATGCGAACGGTGTAGTCAACTTGGTAGTTAACTGCAACGCACCATACTAATTCTTCTTCTTCTTCTCTTTTATATGCGATAAGCTGATATCGAGGTTAGGGCGCATTTGAATCGGCCGCAATAAATTTGTCCCCTCTTACACGATATCGCAAGAACAAACTTACTTCCCCTTTTATAACTTTGTATCTTTGGTGTAAATTCAAACATATTTCATCACTGAAGGCTGGTCGCACTCTGTTCAGCTGTGGCAATCGACAGAAACGGTTTCTTTGTTATTAAAAATATCAAATCGTGTCGCCAAGTCTCGAGGAAAGAGGCCGCATGGTAGACCTAGGCGTAGATGGGTGTATGTAAAAATGGATCTTCGAAAATAAGGTAGGAATGCAAGGGACAGAGTTGGTCTGCCTCGGGTAGGATTCAGCGGTAACTGAAGATGGCTATCTTCTGGGTTGTTGCGCCGTGTAGTCTGGTAGAAGTTTACCGACGTTTCAGAGGTCCCTGCTGCCTCCATCATCGGGGCGATCGCCATCTTCAGACTCACCGGTGTGAAAACCTCAATTCCTACAGCGGTGAACTGTTGTGGACTCTCCAATAAATTTTGGGCGTAGGGAATTTTGTGACCGGCTGAGTGACTGTAGGCGGTTTAAATGATACCACTGCACGGTTTAGGTTTTGTGTTGCCTTGAGGCTTTATCACTGCAGCTCATGTTTTGAGAGGTCCGAGTTTCGATTATCGTCCTGAAAGTCGGCAGTAGCCTTACTGGCTGAGGTGTTTTGTAATTTGTCTCGTTTGTTGCGTTATAGATGTGTAGAACGCGTTACAACCCAAAAGGTCACAATTGTTATCGCCGTAAGAGACTCAGATCTCAAATTATGGGTCTGATTTAGCTAAACGCCATTCTTCCGCTAATATCTGTTGAAGCCTTCTGCCTTCATTTCCCCCAATTACGTGTCATCTGTGACTACTCGTTACAGGAACAAACAGCCAAGCAGGAACTGTTGTACGATTTCACTAACATAACTTGACAGCCATACGTTAAGGGGCGCATTCATTCCATTATATACATTTTACACCATTCCGTAAATGTATTGTTATTGATGTGTCATTTCATGTGTTATGCACTAACAGTAAACTTTCATTTGTTTTTCAAGGTTTAATTCATTAATAATGGAATCAAGTTATTTGTTATTTACTCTCAACCAATGAAATATTGTAGTTTTAAGTTTGACATAGTAAATTTAATCCATTCTCATGAATTTTGCAATGTTAATGCCGTTAGCACAAGAGTAACTGTGAACACTAAGTAGTGAGGTGTTAAGGCTGATTTTCACATAGCCTAATTACATAATAATCTATTGAATATACATTTCTCTATTTTTAATAGCCAGTGTATTGCAGTCTGGTTACTATGAACTTTGGTTTCAGCTGATGGCATACCAATTTGCCAGAGGTTTAATTATTCGTAAGTTATGCTTTATATCTTTCGATCGTGCTTTCAGTACCGACCCTGAATATTTTCATTAGCCTATTCACGTTCCAGATCCAAAAGGTCGTCTGCATTTACAAACGGAACGACGGGTATTTATTTATAGTTACCAGAATTAACATTTCAAGGTATCAGTTTATCACTTTGGTGCCACTGTTCCAACATTTGTGATTTTAAATTCTGTAAGTTTTTTAGTTTCTCTCTGATCTGTTGCTCTTATTGCTGGAACTTTTGCGCTGTCCTCTTCCTTTTCTTCCGGTTTCCGCCGTTTCAGCAATTACCCCTTTCTCCTGTTCCTTAACTATCAACCATTAGTGTCATAAATTCTTACCAGAACTATTTTATGAACTTGCATTTACTACAGGACTTTATTGGATCTGCAGTGCCGTCTCTATACGATCTACTGTACACGAACGACGAAAGGAATTTTTTCAACATTTTCTCTTCACTGATAGTTGATATTCGAGAAGACAGATGGCGTTACATCTTAAATACCGACCTATATTTGTGAACATAATGAGTGCCAATGCTTCGTTATTTCGACATGAAGAAGTGTTCTCTGGAACGAATTCCTCCATGGGTGTTCTCAAGCATTGCCTTGTCTTTTTGATGTATGGTCTCTCTTGTGTCTCACTACCTGAGAAATGGATCTGCAGCCGCCTCTTGTCTGGAATCCGAAACACTTTACAGCTTCCGTCCTGTTATAAATTCTCCAGCAACTCTCAGACGGTCCCTAGTTGGTTTAGGTATGTGTCAATGTAAAAAGCTGAGATTCATAAAAGTGTGGGATTTCTTGACCAGCTGACGGTTTGTCAGATGTTCGAGATACCTTATATTACATCTTCAATTTGAAGAGGGAGGCGATACGTTTCTCCTAGACGTTGGTAACCATCTACAAGACCGCATTTATAATGGTGAAGTGTGGTATTTCTTTACTGTACGGACTGAATTCTTAAGTATTATTTAGGCGAGCTTCGGCTCCAAAGGGTTAGAACGGTGATAAGGTGTTGTTTTACGTATCATTTGGGTTTCCGTTTGTTTTTTAAATCGATATGAAAATTGTTTCTCTCATTCTAAGGAAGTGGCATATGTGAGGGTGGTTTATTATGGGAAGTCGAAATTATTTCCACCCAAGAGATAGGGCATAACATTAACTTTACTCTTCCCAAAATTTCAGGGAGTAGATGGTTGAAGAATATGGCACGCATGGATGAGCTGAAGAAATGCAAAATTTCAGTCAGAACTTCTGAAGGGAAGACAACACATATGTGACTAAGGGGAAGGTGGGAGGAAATAATGCCAAATAAATGAGGTTTTAGAATGTGACTGCATTTATCTGACTCATGATTGTGTCCAGAAGTTGCTCTTGTGAACACGGTGGTGAACCTACGGGTTTCATAAAACCGGTAAATTTATTGGCTAACTGAGCGACTATTAGTTTCTCGAGAAAAACTCTGGTCCGCTGGGTTGGATTTTCCACGGTGATAACTTTACATACGGTGTCTTATTCATTTTTTGGTGGAATCAAGAACCGCCAGTCAGTCTTGAAAAATCCTGATTTAAGATGCTTGTATTGATGATCCCAGGGACGCCATTGCTGAAATATTCTAGTCTCTAGCAGGTACTGGAACCAATCTGGACGATTCCCGATGACGTCATCAGCGCTATCTTTCAAAGCCCGTCTTATCCGACACGCACTGCAGCCCACTGGACTACGTGGAGTTACCAGACAAGTAAGCAATCATTCTGATTGTTGCCCGTTTTCATCGTGTTGAATCTTCATTCAGCGAAACAAATTAGTCACAAGTTTCGTTACGCTGCTTCAGAGCGCTCGTCCTCTGCCCCCAACTGTGCTTTGGTACGCAGTGAGTATTACCATAGGCCGGGACGAAGAACCGTCTATATCCGTTGAAATGCATGAAATGAAACAAGTACTCAGGGGTGACAAATTCGTGACTTGGGCAACCACTTTCTTCAAAAGTTCCGGTGAAGATATTTCCTTCAAGAATTTAAGATATAACCCGAAGGTTTATTACCGTGGTCACAGAAGCCCGGCCCCATTCCGAGCCATTTCAAACCTTCATACCGTATTTCTGTAGGTTTTAATGGTATTATCCTCCACCTACGCACAAATAGTATCTTTCCTTGAGACTTCCCAGTCAAAATGCTGTTGGCATATCTCATCTTCCTATGCATTACTCATGTCCCGCACACATCATCATTCTTAATTTAGATAATCACCTTTTCATACTTGAAGATCTTCGTACGTAACATTCTCATTCTCTTATAACGCCCAATCTCTTAGAATTTTGTTTTTAGACGCAATGAATCTGTGTTCCTCCTTCCTTGTGAAGGACGTAGTTTCGCACCGATACGAAGTAACACAGCAGTTATTTCCTTGTTTGTTTCTTAGTTTATCGACCTTGTATTATCGAATGGAAATATGATTATGCACTGGTAATGGTGTGGAAGGGAGTGGGCTTGACCTGTTTAAAATACCATGCCATAATTTTGTGACAGAAGACCACGAGAAACTTCTGTCAGGTAGCCGGTCACTAGGAAGAGATTCGATCTAGGTATCTCCCGAATACAATGCAGGAATTTTATTCCTCGTGAAGGCGATAATCATTTCTACGAGACTACACGGCCCAACATCTCAGAAGACTCTCATCTTCATAAGCTAAATTGTTTTCTCGTAGTTTTTGCTGCTACACGAGGGATCACATTTCATGCTAATGGCTCACTTCTGTGCTTTTTAGAATAAGAAGATTACTGCTCGTCTCTTCACATACATAGGAAAGCCGAGAACTTTGTAGTGATTAACTCAAATGCCGTCTTTCCCCTTTTCAGATTCGAGTAATGAAATATTAAAAGACTTCTCCTAATGCTCTTACAGAAGGGTGTTTGCTTTGCTGATCATAAATGCGTGTGGCAAAATCTGATTTTCTTCGGAGTATGCTGCATCACATGAATCATGTTCAAGGACAGGTTCATATATTCTGCATCCTGATTTGATGTTCTGAGGGTTTAAATTTAGGTTTGCAGGCGCATACTTTGCAATGGCGAGCGTAATATTAAGTGTAGATGTAGTAAGTAGAGTTGTCGATCGGTTTGTACTGGACTCATAAACATATATTTATTTCATTAGATCAATCACATCTGAAACGTTGATAAACGTTTCCACCAGACCAGAAAAGTCTCCAGTCCTTATACTCCAGGAAACTCCATGGGGAAAATCCCTCTAGAGAATCTGATGGTTCCAGCTAGTCAGGAAATGTCTCGCCTGTTAGCTTCTAGGACAAGAACTAGAGCTAGACGAACTCAGTCTGCACGCTTTCAACTACTTCTTTCCCGACGTTTCGGAAATTATCTGCGTTACCATCCTCAGAGCTAGTACTGGCGATTTACTGAAAGTTAGTATTGTAATAATATTTGCGTTATTCTTTAAACAAGACTTCCTAGTAAGAAATGATTTGATACGAGAGCGGTTAGGAGAATAACATGCAACGACATGCCAAGTTCGTGAGGATTTAAACACAATTAGATTCTGTGTGGTCCATTTTCGGGCCTGTAGGATGACAGGGATGCATTTTGGATTCTGTAACACGAAGGAGTTAAAATTGTTACCATTTATCAAACTCCTTAAGCCTATACACGCAGGCAAATTTAAGACATGAAATCATGAGAACCGTATTACACCCCACTGTCCTCCTTTTGCAGTAAAGGAATTTCCTAAATCAGAGTTTCTAATCTGTCGGAATCTCTAAATGTGTATCGCTTTCCTTCTACCCTATTACCACGGCTGCAATACTGGGGATTATTAATACTTTTTGTAGTGACCCTATGTGTCGTGGCCTTCATACTGAGTTAATTCTGTGTACGTGTTGAAAAATTATGATTTTATATACACATGTTAACCTTTACCAAAGTACTGTTAAATAGAAATAAAATTTAACAACTAGTTTAATTTATTGTTAACACAGCCATTGTATCATTATTTGTACGATAGTTTGAACAAACTAAACGACAGAGCAAATTATTGTGACCCTGATGAGTTTAATATTTACATCAAATTCCACTTCAAATGTATATTAAAGATAGTTAAGTTTATAGATGTATGAACTCATCTGTGTGAACTTACTTGTCTTTTTACGTGTTGCTTGAGTTTGTTTAAGTTACATGGGAAAGACGGTTCTGAGTTGCGATTCTCGGTATGTACAGCGGAGCGGTCGGTCTTTGTAACTTTGTATGCGTTTCTGTCCGCTATATTTGTTTTCAGGCTGTTCTCATTTGTTTTTATATAGTAGCTATCTCTTGGCACTTCTTTAAAACACTTCACGTAGTGTTTTACGTGTCTTCCTTATTATTTGTGTCCAAGGAATGTTTTAAAACTATTGTGTCATGTCTGGTAAAAAAAAAATAGGTTCTATGTAAATTTTGGATTCTGTATGTGACAACACACGAGTATTTGTTCGTATTACGTCAGACAAAAGAGAATTGTCAACTTGTTTGCAAATTAATACATTCTGAATTTCGTATTTGTTTTGTGCGTTGCTGTTAAGCTCGGTCTGTTCCGCGTTGTAGGTGAAATGTTGAATGAAGAAGTGTTTTTTACGTGAAGAGGGAAAGTGATTTCAGAATGGAAAGTAAACAAGCAAAATTGTAAAAAAAAAAAAAAAAAAAAAAATGCATTTACGTCACACAACCAAAAACAGTTTGTAGGAAAAAGATAAAATTAAATTCGCAGCGGTAAACAAACTTTGAAGACAAACATTTGAAACATATGTAGTAGAATAACAGCCGATATTCACAGAAAAAAAATTATATTATAATAAAACAAAATAAAATGCACTTTGGAAAAAATGCTTAGAATAAAAGCAATTGGAATAAAGCGCGGAACAGTGTGTGGGGCAGAAAAATAATTGAAATCGATTATGTGGATTTGATTGTTGAATATGATCTGTAGCAGAAAACAGTTGTACATAGCCACCAACAATGATTTAAAATACTATATACATAACTGAAAACAATATTTAGAAAGGATACAATTGAAATATGCATCTAAAAGCAATTTGTAGAAGAAAATTATTTAAACACCAACATAAATAAGTCCTAGCATAGAAATAATGTAGTACAGCGGAATGTTTCTGATTACATCAAGTGCCAAATAAACGGAAATAAAAATCATGACACAAACAGTCACTATAAAAATGGTTAGCACTCCTAGTTCATATTCGGAGGTCTATGGTTCAAATCTTGGTGTGAATACTAGTTCTCCTAATTGAGGTATTTCGTGGCTTTCCTCAGTCCCTCTAGCTAAATTCTGGAATCTTACCTGAAATTAGGTTGGTGCTACTCTTTCCACATCTTTTCCAGAGCATTTTTCATTAATCACACTGCTGTTTGACGTTGTAGAGTCTGAGCTGATGAAATCCGCGCTAAATAAGCCACAAATAAAAAACATAAATGAAACATCCTGTGAATCTTTGTACTTTAATTGTCACATCTTCTAGTAAAACAAGAGTGGTTTTCGTGGAATCCGCATTAGAACTCGCATTGGTGACTGAAACATTTAGGCTGATCCTAGTTTTTGTGCTTCGCCCCACCAGTCTAACACAGACAAACCAAGGCCCCAGTTTACTTGTGATATCTCGCAGTGAAATTTAAGACTATTCAGATTCACTTTCTGACATCCGTGAATATCAACAAATCGTGCTTTGAGTTCTATGTGTTTTTTTTCCCTGCCACAAGCATTTTTTCGAATCGAATAAGTAGCTATGATCGAACTTCGGATATCGTCCTATATTAAAATGAGGCTGAAAATTATAATAACAAAAATAAGAAAGAGGAGTCGTTCGTAGATGCATCAAATAGAAGAACACTATATGCATATTCTTCTTATTGCCAGTCGAGGTATTTGTCCTGAAGGGACGTTTACTGTGACGTGCATAATGATTTTATTTGTAGTCTTGAAAGAATGTTAATTTGAGCCGCCGATGGCGAAAAGGTGAGGCCATGTTTCATACTTTGTAATCCGCTCCACTTTGTTGGTCGACTTCCAAGTTTCCTTCACCTCCTGTAGCTACTTGTTTGTCTGCTGTGTATTTGTTTCTTGCTTTGGTTTGTCAGCTGCACAGGCAATATACAGTCAGATTGCTGGATGATTGTGAATGGTATGAAAGGAGGTAGTCTGATATTATGTTTCGATTCTGTCCCATAACTTTTTATCGCGGATTTAGCAAAACAACTAAAAACTGACATCTTCGATCTCCTGATCGAAATTCGAACCGTAGATGTCAGGAATTGCAAGTTTCCTTTATCTAACTATTACGTCGTGAAGTTTGGTTTCATCTGTGGGTAGAGTTACGGATTTATCACTTCCCTTTTAAGTGTTTCGCGACTTATATTACCAGGACTTTTATGTTGCAAAGACATTTAGCTTATTAAATTAAATAGGTTTAAGAGTCCAGTATCGGAATTTTGTGTTCAGGTTCCATGTTTTGACGAACTGAGTAACAATCGACTGCCCAAGGAGCATTCTCTACAGTAAAATTAATTAATCAATTAAATAATTAATTGTTTATTACTCAACAACCGAATCACAATATTAATCCTAATCTGTGCGCTTGAAATTTTTCTTTTATTAACACGTTTTAAATAATTTTATTCTGTAAAATATTAGTAAATCTCTCCAATTATGTTTTTACTTATATTTAATTTGTGAAAATGGCGAGTAATAGTGTTCTATCGATGAAGGTGGACATGTCATGGATCTTATATTATAATGGACCTCTGCCTTCACCTGTAGCATTTTCTCTCTCGATCATTAATAATTATTTGAGTGTATCTGATGTGACGCCACGTGACGTGGTGACGTGATTGGATTCTGGAAGATAATAAAATGTCGTAAAATATTCAAACAAATGAAATAATTTACAGAATATTAGTATAAATGTTTATAGTCTTTCAGCATGGCAATGAACTCCTTGCTTTTATGTTACTAATCTTAATATTTTTCCCAAAACGAAACATTAAAATATGAAAATGTTTCAGCGTATTATTAATCTTCGCAATAAAAAACCGACTTCTAGGGGCGTGCAAAACACCTTCATAGCTATCCTACAAATACAAAGTTTGTACTTATTTTTGCACCCATAAGGAATTCAGTCATATGCACTGTATCAAGACATTAGAAAATAATAAACGCACTGATTTATTGCCCGTGTTTTTAGAACTAATTACTTTTCAGACTTCGTTTAGAATATGAATAACCACACCTTTAATTGTAATAAAGCAACATATTAAACGTCATCCGTATTTTAATTTGTTTTTTTCTTCTTTGTGAGGTTTTTTCTTTGACATTCCTTTCTTAGCCCTGCTCTTAAAAGGAATTCCTCCGAAGTAGGTATGGAGTGAAGTAGAATTCCTAGTCTGACAGGCGGGTAGTCCTTGAGGTGAAACGAGTCATCGCAAATACTTCGGAAATGTATCATATTCTGGTTTCTTCCAACAGGCTTCACGCATTGTGAATTCCCCACTTCGTTCGTTCCATCTTCCTCTGTTCATCACTGTTCGACCATTTAACTCTTCAAAGCACAGTGGCAACTTGTATGTACCACGTATTTTTAAAAAATGCATTAACTCTACCTACACAGATCTCTTGCATTTATGAGGTTCTTAGGATTCTTAGAATAGCAGTAACAGTTCCTCTCACAGTATTAAGCAGTTTATCTTTGAAATTGAGACGCATTGTTTTCTTTGTGGCGGGAACTGCATTTTTAAATGCTATTTAGGTGTTTCGTGTTTTTGTGTAGACTTCCAATAATCAAAATCCGTTTTAGTAGTTGGAGACACGACTACTGTTGTATGCGTTCTCTTTGTGCAATTTGTGCAAAAAAATCGCGTAGTAAATTAGTGAACGAAGAATCGATATGTCATAAACTGTAGTGTAATTCCGTTATTACTTTCTGCATGCTTGTAGGAAACTGGTAACTGACGTTTGGATCGTTTTCTACATCTGAATTACACACAATTCATAGCAAATTGCCTCCAGCCCTTGCTGAACATGACCACTAGAAGTTCTTTAACACCGTTCATATAATTCTTGCTCTTTACGACCAGAGTGAAGATAGTTTCGTCGTTCTGAAGCTTTACAGCGAAGGTATTATCCGACTTCTCAATCAACTAATGTTAAAACTGCAAAGTTATCTAGTGCCTTGTAATATTAAAAAGAGAACAAAACCAAGATTTGTAGGAATGTTTAAAACTCGTTGCATTTCATAAAGTTTATTTACCAACGACCATGTTTTAGTTTCCACCCAATCGTAAGAAGTCGAGAATAAATAATTCCTGCTTCTTATTGCTAAGTTGTTTTACTTCTAGCGAAGGTTTACGGTCTTTTTAAACATAACTGCAGTGCTAGTGTATTGCAGATGTTGCAGACTTCGTATTCTTTGGCGCCTCATCCTGAAGCTAAACGCAAATATCTCCTGTTATTCTGTTCATCTCTTCCACGGCGTTTTGAAGTAAAGGTTTACTCTGTTCATTGCTTAGGGATCAAATGTGCGTATCTGGTAAGCATAATTGTGTGCACATACTTTTAAACACTGAACTAATTTTGGCCAAATTATTTTCTAACAACTCAACGGATTTTCATGAAACTTGGTGTGAAAATTGTTCCAAAACAGGCCATTATATCTTGGTACATTATAATTTTATGTCATAAATAACTCGGTTCTTAAAGTGGCTGCCTGCGGGTTGGGTGTAAGGCGTTACATTTCCGGAATCGGTGAAGATCTTCTTTTCTTCACCAGATCCGGTTCGATGCTCGGCTGACTCAGTTTGTACTGGAGACTCTTCCGAGGGATTAGTGCGGCCGAGTCTGGAAGCTGTCACTCACCTCCTCCCAGTGCCGTAGTTGAGAATACATGGAGCTTTACCTCCACTCAGACCATACCTCATGTTCCTTAGTCACAGGGACGTCTTTACCTTTAATGTGATTCATTTCTGACAGCTGCAATAGCCCTGACTAAACAGCACATTTTCACAACTTCAGTCTGAAATTTTGGGTTTCATCTCGGACCCAGCACTTAGCTTATCGATTCCTGAATAAACATACTTTAGTTTTTAGTTAAATCACTACAGGAAAACGAAACGTCTTACCTGCCCTGCCTTCTGTCCAGTCTTTCCACACGAATGATAAAGAAACTACAGAATGTAGTCGGTCTCGAGTTATAACCCTCCTCCTCTCAGAATAAAATTATGTTTGCTAACCAAGACACTGCAGTTGTCTGTACGTGGCATGAAGCTGTGCGGTTTTGAAAACACATTTTTTTTCACGTATGCAAAGTTTGTATCATAAATCACAGATGGACTAGAACGTTGTCTAGCGCAGTCATGCGCATCTGGTTTCAAACACAGAAACGTACTTTGAAAACTTCTACGGAGCTCAAAGCCTACTCAGACGAATCCAGGTTCTTCAGAAATACAAGGAATGTTTGCATTTCCTTTACCGTTTCAGGTGGTTGGCTTAGAGCAAAGATCTTTAAACACTCCATACCCAAGTATCGTCTTAGCCACCTTAATGCTTCATTTAAAGAGACCTTTTTTGTTTTGAAAATATTTCCATGGTTACGTATATTTTATTATTTAAAAGCCACAAATACGTAACTATAGTTATTTGAGAGTAGGCGGAAAATATTTATTTCACTGTTTATTTTATATACCAAATAAATCTAAACCAGATACGCCCCGTGCGTATCACGGAAGGAGTTAAATGTAAAACTTACTTCTTCTTAAGCGTTTATCTTTCCATCTGCTCTTTTCTGCCACGAAGTCTTCTGAATGTGTAATTGTCTCCATCCAAATATTCTCAACACCCTGTTTTAAAACATCCTGAGCCTGTGTTTTTCTCTTATAGTGATACACCTCATTTACACTCATAAAACAACAGGTGGAACTCATGTACATTTTAATCTTGATGTACACAGCAAAAAGGCGGGAAGATTCCTTGTCGAAAATTTTCTCTTTGTTTTATTCTTCAAGTTTTCAGTTACAAATTTGTCAGCTGTTTCCCATCCTTGTTATCAGGTGTGGAGGAAATGAATTTGCATCAGGTAACTTATGAATAACAGCGTCATTTATGTGTAAGAGGAGGGTGGTTTAAGAATCATTTATGTAAGTGTTCGTGATATTCTGAAAGCAGGTTTGCTGAGAGTGCAGTTCGTCAGTGACCGTTGTCTGTGTCCTTCA